GATCGGATCGGGCCGGAGCTCGGAGGTCTTCAGTATCCTCGCTGCACCCGGTATAGATCGCCGTCTTCGCTGGCCTAGAAAGCCCTCTGTGACCTGCCCTGCCTGTGACGCTGGCCTCGGTGGGGACACTCTGCCCGAGCCTGAGGTTTCGGGACTATCGGAGCCTCGTTCAGCAGCGTCTGCCCTGCCTGTGCTTCTGCTCGGGTCACCCTGCTTCTCCTGGTCTCCCTGTACATGTCCTCGAGCCTGACCTCACCCCAGCACCGCCCCCCGACTCCGCCCACCGGCCCCCCCACCCCCATGCCCCGGCACCTGTGCCTTTCACAGGGTTCCTACACCCAAAACCTCAGGACTGAGACTCTCTTTTCTTAAAAAACCACTATTTTAGTGCACAGTTCAGTGGCAGCACACTCACCGCATAGTGCAAACCACCCCAGCTAGTCCCCAAACACTTCCGTCACCCCAAAAGGAGACCCCGGGTGATGAGCAGTCACTCCCCAGCCGCTGGCAACCCCCAGTCTGCTATCTCCCACGTCCAGGTCTGAATGAAGAGGCGGAAGTCGGGGGAGCCCACTGCTTTGCTCCGTGGGGGCAACGAGGCTGTGCCTGGCTCACGGCGCCATCTGGTGGCTGGCGTGGGGAAAGGCCCCGCCCGCCCTCTGCCTTCCCCACCCCCTCAGGGCCCCGGGGATCCTGCCCTCCCCGCTCCCTTTCGCTGCTCACTCATCTCCTTCAGGAAAGTCTTGACCAGATATCACACGGTCTTTTTCCTGGCCCAGATCCGGCACGCGACAGGTCGTCAGTGTCTCCCTGTGTCAAAGGGCAGACCTTTCTCTCCCTTTTTCCTTCAGGCAGTGTCCCTTTGAGGCCCCCAGCCTTACTCAGGTCCTCGTCCCAACTGTGCACCTTGCTGGGCCTAAAGCCTCATCTGCCCCCGTGTGCCCGGCAAACCCCCAGGCTCCTGGGCCCAGGCGTGGGCAGACGGGTGGCCGCAGGGAATGAGACTCCAAAGGGCCGGCTCGTCCTCTGGGTCCCTCCCTGCCTTCCTCTCGTTTTGTCCCCCGAAGAAGCTCTTTACGTCCTACAAGCTCAACGCTAGAGTTAAGAGATGTTTGTAAAAAAATAAAAGATGTTCGTTACGCTTTACCTAACGCCGCTGTTCTATGGCGAGGGTTTTCGTTACGTCTGGTCCCAGGTAGATCCAGAATTCAAAGTCCTTGTTTGAGTTTTTACCACGAGCACGTAGAGAATCACTTGTGAATTTATAAGAAAGGCAACAACCGGAGGCAGAAGGGAGGGGAGGCAGTGAAGGGGCCGTTCACTGGCAGTACGTAAGCAACAAAACGATGCGCGTTTCTTGCTTAGACGGTCAGACGTCATGTTTTTATGATACTCGAATTCGCCAAGTGCACAAAGAAACCTGCCATCGCGTGCAAGTCGGTGCAAACCTCTTTACAGGGGCTTTTCGTGGTCACTGACCCAGGGAGCATCCTTCCTGGCTTCCCCGCGTCCATGGTGCACGGCCCCTCCCCCCACCTGTCCCCACACTCGTCCCTCGGGTCCCTCTCCCGCCTCCTCCCCCACTTCTAAGGACTCCAAGGGTAACATCTGCCACCCGGGCGATAGAGTCGTCTGCTACCTCAAGGCCATCTCATCAGCTACCTCACTGCCCCTCTGCCACTCAGGGTGACACAGTCACAGGTCCAGGGACCTTTGGGAGGCCACCTGAGGGCTCTGCCCACTCGGGAGGCGGTGTTTGTGTTTCACAGGAGGTTTAATTCACAGACAGCACTGACGGACATCAGACCCAGAGGGGCTTCTGTTAGTGCGACATCTTCCGGCTCGCCACCCACAGCGAGCAGCGATGCCAGGAGAGAAACTGGGCATTCGGCGCGTTTTTATTTGCCTACGTTCCCTTCCACGTGGCGCTTTCACAATCATAAAGAGTTTGTCTGCGCAGGGGAGATCAAACGGGTCAGAAGAAATAACCAAAGGGGTCATGAAAACAAGAACAATTTACAACATGGGACCGAGACTGTAAGACTGGGGCATCCTCGTGTTTCGAGGAAAATAAGTATGAATTCCTAACGTGCATCGTTCCGTCTCGTTGTTAAAAGACTTAAACGTTCACGCCATCAGCTGGTTAGGATGCATCCGGGGAAAGCATTTAAACCCCCGTATGGAGACTCCGGGGAGCCCCGACTGGGGAAAGGTTACTGTTTTCTCTCAGATGGAGACGCCGGAGCAGGTCAGGCGGGCGGTGACAATGTCAAAGCGCAGGCACACTCCACGCGGCAGGTCCGGGCGGAGCAGCAGACCGGGGGTCCTGTCCTCCGAGCAGGGCTCCCGTCCTCCAGGGCCACACCTGTCACAGCCTCCACTGTGGCCCTGACCCACAGTGGAAATCACACACAGTGACTCGCTCACCTCCCGTGGCAGCTCCCCAGTGCCCAGCACCAGACACTCGACTACCGCTGGCAACTTCCACTCTCCCAGGATGTCGTCCGGGCCCAGGCAGCCCTGGCGGACCTTCCAGAACCAAGTGCACTGACCAGGCACAGCCCACTCCGCGATACCCGCACTGCCCAAAGAGGCTGCTCCCAGCATGCCACAAAGTCCCCGTCCCTGTCTGGGGCATCAGCAGAGAAGCTGCCCAGCTGGGCATTCCCCGGCTGGGTCTGCACTCCACGGGGCGGGGACTCTGACCCCTGACGAAAGGGGGTAGCGGGTCCCGTCAGAGCCGCCCATCTGAAAGGAGAGCGGGTGAGGTTAGGGAGCCGGGACTGAGGCTGCGGGCTACCCGGCCACGCGTGGTCAGGACACACAGATGGGCCAAGATGTGTCCATCCCTGCTGAGCTTCTGCCATGCCCTCGTCCCTACCGTGGTCACAGGCAGGGCTCTGGGCCAACAGGGCCTTTCTGCACGTTCTCATGCCTTTGTCACATGCTGTACCCCACCCTGTCATGGGGAAGCTCCCTGTCCCATTTCTTCAGGACCAGCCTCCTCCAAGGAGACCGCGGCCTCACCTGGAGGGCAGCCCCGCCCCCTGTAATTGCACGTGGGACAGGCCCAACTTCCGACTCCGGCCCCACACCTCAAGCGTAGGGCATGTCCCAGTGTCCTGGGAGGGGAGCGGGGTCACTCTCAGGCTTTGACCCCGAGAGCAGAGCTGCCGAAGGGACAGCATGAGGGAGGGGCACTGTCGAGGGGACACGGGGATCTGCTGCCTCCAGGCTTGAAGGCGTCCCTGGGGGCAGGGGCAGGTCAGCACAACCAGAAGGCTCGTGGGGGGCCCTGGCAGGCAGAGAATGAGCCCAGGGAACCCAGCAATCCCGCCCGCCCCGGTCCCAGCTCCTACAGACAAGCCCGGAGCCACTGGCGAGCGCCCACCAGACCCAGCTCAGAACCGGGCCTGTGAAAGCGAGACCAGCAGGGAGATGGGCCATGGCCGGTGACGACTTCGTAATTCCTGAATTTTGAGGCGGGGGGAAGAGGGCCACCCTAACTCCGGGTGAAGCCTCGCTGACTCACTGGGGACCCTTCTTCGGTTTTACTTTGAGAAAGAGGTCACAGCCATGCCTGCCTGAGGGTCCAGGCAGCCCCCAGGCAAGGGCCAAAGCCAGGCCCATGGAGGGGGCTGGAGGCTGCCCAGTGTCCCCTGGAGGCTGGCCTGAGAGGGCACAGGGCCCTGGGGGCAGCGGAGAGGACCTGCAGGACACAGCCTGCAGGGTGACAGGATCAGGAAGGAAGGTGGCCGCAGCCGGGACTCGGGGTTCCGGGCCTGTCCCTACAGCGCTGGCCGGTGGTGGCCGTGGCCGATACCCAGCCCCTGTAAAGAGAAGCATGCGGTAATCTGGACCGTCTGTCTGCGGTCTGCATCGTCCCCATTTCTTCTGGGATGGTGAGAGCAGCTTTTCCAGAAGGCCCCTCACCAGCGGGGAGGGTGGGAGCCAACTGGGGGAAGCGCCGGCCCCCGCTGTCGGGCTCCAAGGCAAAAAGCACCTGAGCAGGAGCGAGGCCCGTCCAGCTGCGCGACCTGGACATGAGGAAGTGGTCAGTCCCGCCGTGTCCCCACCACAGCCCGCGCGTTCCCTGGCTGCGCCCGGCTAGGCGGGCAGGTCTCCCCGCCCAGAGCCAAGTGGCCGCCAAGGGCTCGTTGTGAGAAACAGCTTCCGACGGAGCACGGCCCGCTTCGCTTGGACCTGGGCGCAAAGACCGATGGCAGGAGCGAAACATGTCCCTCCCCCAGCGGTGCCTCAGCCGGTCAGAGCCAGGGAGGAAGGGGTCACGGCCGGGGTCGGGGCAGTGACGGCGCAGCGCCCTCAGGAGAGCTGTCGTCACGTCGACCAAACGCCAAAGCGAGCAGCACATGGATCAAAAAAGGTTTATTTTGAATATTTAATTTAAAAAAATCATACCTATGAGATGTGCTACAGAAATTCAGATACAGTAACTGCGTATAAACCCGACCGGACCGTGGCGAAGCACAGGACGCACCGCTGCCCCGCGGGAGCGGGGACGCCCGCCAGCCACC